TTGGCCAAGACCCACTGCAGCATTTTCAGCAAGTGGTACTAGAACAGTTGGTGCCAGCTGGGAAAAACAAAAAAAAAGAACCTCTATCCATACTTCCTGCTGTTTCAAAAAATTAACTTGAAATAGATTATAGATCTAAATGTAAAATCTAGAACTAAAATTTTCTAGCTGAAAACATGGGAGAAAATCTTGATGACCTTATGTTAGGCAAAATGTTTCTTAGATACTGAGGTGTTATATTAATACATTATGGGGAAGATGGTGTTTGTTCTCAGCTTTTTAGGAGAGGTGAATCCTTTCTTCCTGGTGGGAAATAATAATTACACAGCCCTGATGATAATATAAGTTAAGAAAGATTTGTGACTGAATAGCAGGTAGTATTAATGCTGGGATTCCTTCAGCTAAAGAATTCATCTTTGCAGAGTTAATAAAGAGGACCAGGAGGATGTCAAGGGCTCAGGGGAAAGATAGTATAGCTAGGTTTGAATGTTGCAATATTTTGCCAATCCTATTCAAGTTGCAGTAGCATTAAGAATACAAGAAGAATGGGATAATAGGTTTTGTTCAGGAAGTGGCATCATACAAGTAAAGGAGAAATTTCTGAATGAAGTGAATTTTGAAAATGAATATGTCACTCTTACATGTTATCTCAGTACAGCCCAATCCTTTCCTGCTAAAGAACGTGGGTAATCTAGATCAGAAGTCCACTGTGAAGTCAGGGTTGGATTTCTGTTGAGTGACACTTACTCAGACATTTAAGTACTTATTAAAGCACACTCAATTTTATTTAGTTTTGAGTATTTTATAACTACCACTTGATAATTAGAAATCATGAAGTCTCAAAATGCACTCTACTTGAAGTCTTGGAATTGCTTATATAGTTACATTTTATGTTTTTTTAATATCTAGACTCTAAAAGGTTAACTTCTTGACTTTTCTCTCCTGTGAACTGTGTAGATCCAGAGATTGATTTCTACCAACAGCCCTCTCTGTACCAGGTACTGTGCTAGTGATCCAATTTTTACTGTGTGTTCCTAAGACCAGAAACAGAAGGGCAAAAGGAAGAGAGAATTGATTCAATTCATGTAAGGGGCCCCTTCCTGAATCTCTTACTTAGCCAGGACCAGAAACCTTGTTCACTGTCTCCTGGTCATCACTGCTCCCATTCCCCATTTTTCAAACACTACTGAATTGGACACAGAGCCTTTTAATTATACCTTCTCATCTCTAAATCATTTCACATGTGAGGGAGATGGCTGTCACAGCTTTACTATAGGCCACTGAGATGCCATGATGACGTCCTAGGACAGCCCTGATGATGGTGTCTGAACGTCTGTTGTAACATTTTATCCTGGTCTGTTAAGCCCACGGAGTCGTTAGCTGTGTTGTAAGACACAAAGTTCCGGTTATCTCTTGTTGTGTAACAAATCACCCCAGAACTTCATGGCTTAAAACCATAATTATTTCTTTGACTCTCAAATCTGCAATTTGGGCAGGTTTCAGCAAGGAAGGCTTATTTCTGCCCCATGTGGCATCTGAGACAATCAACTGGGGCTGGAGGATTCACTTCTAAGATGGCTTACTCACGTGGCTGGTAATTTAGTACTAGTTTCTGCCTGGGAGGTTGGTTAGGAACCTCATTACCTCTCCATGGGGCTGCTCGAGCTTCTTTCTCATGGCATGGAAGCCAGGTGCCAAGAGTGAGTATTCCAAAAGGCAGGATATGGGCATCCTCAACTTCTGTCACATTCTCTTGTCAAGCAGAATCCTCCCAGATCTAAGGGGAATCTTCTTGATGAGAAAAGTGCTAAAGAGTCTGAGGCCATCTTTTAATTAATACATCCATTTATTGTTGACTCAGATAAACTCATCAGCCTTCTTCTTTCAGGATCAGTAAAGATCCTTTATCTGAAGAGCAAATAGATGCTGCCTTCTGGCCACAATTTTTAAAAGTTCTAGAATAGCCTTGGCCAGTGTGGCTCAGTTGGTTGGGCGTCATCCTGTGCACTGAAAGGTTGCTGGTTCAATTCCTGGTCAGGGCTCATGCCTGGGTTATGAGCTCGATACCCAACAGGGGGCGTGCAGGAGGCAGCCAATCGATGTTTTGCTCTCACAATGATGTTTCTCCCTTCCCCTCTCTCTCTTAAAAAAAAAAAAAAATCTTTAAAAGAAACCCTAGAATAAAGATCAGTCATGATGATCTTTATGAGTAGAAGCAGGAGTAGCTTTAGAGAAAAAGTTGCCATGGTAATAGTACTTTCTGTCCTTCTCTGGACTGCTAGTAATATGAGGTTTAGGTTCCTGAGGAAGATTAAGCCAAAGAGGCTGAAATTTGGGGATAAACAGTTATTACACCAGGAATTGGCAAACTTTTTCTTTCAAGGGCCAGATAGTGGATGTTTTAGGCTTGCAGGCCCCTGTCGTGTCGGTAGCATTGTACCATTCTGTAGGCTAGAAGTCCATCATGGGTCACTACGTTCTTTCTGGAGGCTCTAGAGGAGAACTCATTCCCTGGCCTTTCCCAGCTTTTAGAGGCTGCCCACATTCCTTGCTCTTGGCCCCTTCTTCCATCTTCAAAGCCAGCAATGCAGTATCTCTTTGACCCCACTTTAGTCTTCACACCTTTCTCAGACCTCTTCTTTCTCTCTCTTCTATTTTCAAGGACCCTTATGATTATATTGGTCAACTAGAACAATCCAGAATGGTCTCCCTATTTTAAGGTCAGCTAATTATTACCTTAATTTCATCAGCCACCTTGCTTCCCCTTTGCCATGTAAACTTACAGATTCAAAGGTTCAGGGGATTAAGATGAAGATGTCTTTAGGAGGCCATTGTTCTTCCTACCACATCATTCTCAGCCCATGAGCTGGAGATTCTCAGCCCATGAGCTATATAATACTGTGACTTCCTAAGTGACTTCATCCACAGTTGATGTGATATTCACAAAGGAATTCCATTTATCTCCTTTGTACTTGAGATCGGAGGGAGTACATAGAATTCTGCTGTTCCTCCCATCTTAAGGTTGGCATTGAACTGTTTTTATTCTATAGCCGAGCACATGCAAGAATATGACCCACTATTACCAAAACTCACTTTCAGATCATGTCAACTGGGAAAACTTCATTTTTGTCTTCTAATCACTTGAGGTTGGTAGAAGCTCCTGTTGACTCAGGTAGGCTACTATATGGTCTCCCAAAAGTCACTTGTTTAAAAAATGCATAAATACTACAATAAATATGACACTTTCTGTTGAAAAAGACCTTCAGCTTCCTTGATGAAGTGGGTCTTGGAAGGGTTGCAGCTTGAGTTGCGAGGAGCTCAAAGGAGGGTGGTAAGAATTGGCGGGGAAAGTTGTGACAGCAGATGTGGGTGGGTATGGCTGCTGTTGTTGTAAGGGGTATGGGGGGCGGGGGGTGTTTGAAGTATTTCTCAGTGTCTCCATTTAGCTGAGTGCAATCTTTTGTATTATCTCAGGATGAGAAGTCATGGGAAAGCAATTGCAAAATTCATGTCATACTCAAATTGTTTCTCATATATCAATCACTGGAACAGATTTGCCTTTTGAAAACATTGCAGCAGAGCTGACGCTGTCCTGGGTTCTTGGCAGCACTCCATGAAGGACCAGCCTGAGCACGCAGCACCATTTTGCTTCCCTTCCCATGGAAGGCACGTGCGAGCGATGGGCAGGCTGCCTCTTCGGCTGAACACTCAGAATTCTGTACCCAAAATACAGACATTTTCCAACATTCAATTCTTTAAGACTTTCAAAGCTCCTATTTACTCTTCTCAAGAAACTACCAGAGAGTGCCAGTTAGCAAAACAAGGAAGTATACGCTGAGAAAGAGTACAGAAAGTGGGAAATGGGGATTGGCAGAGGGGTGGAGGGAACCCCCTGGGGGCAGCTGAGCCCTGGCTGTGAGGCCCAGGTCTGACAGCCATGGGCGAGGCGAAGTAGGCCAACGAGTGGAGACTGACCTCGAGGCCTCTGACCTCATGGGATTTAGATTGTTAGCCAAGTGTTTAGGCTGGAATTTGTATTGAGTACTTAGAACACTTAGCAGATGAAAAGATAGGATAATTTCCTCCAAGGAGAACAAACCCCCAAAAACTGCATAAAAGGGAAATACTATAAACTGCTTTAAGTTTACTGGATGGGCTCAGCTCTGAGCAGCCTTTACACCGTTATGTAGTGCTCATGTTTGGTTAGAATATTGATCTATATTGGGACGACAGCTGGGGGAGGTGGGGAGGCTGCACATGAAGCTGGCGATGGGACAAGCAGGAAAGAGCTAAATCAGTGTCTTCACAGGGAGGAGTCACCACGTGAGGCCTAGAATAAAATGGAGTGAAGCAGCGCAAACATTAGCTAGAGGCTTGAAGATAAACATCAAAAAACATATCAAGAGTTGAAATTGGTAGCCTCTGGGCTATTTGTTACAAGCCTTACCGAATGATTTGAATTTTTTAAAGCAATGTGCATATGTAACTTTAATAAATATAAATAATTAAATATATTTAGCAGAAAAGCGTTAACCTGGCAAGACCGAGACAAATTTCTAAGGAGCATGTAAGAGTCCCCTTATATATGTAAGAGGCTTGCTTGCAAGGTGGCCCTAGGCTGGCCTCTGGGAACTTAGCTTTTGCAAGGGTTCCCTCCATTCCCTGATAGGAAAGGCTTACAGCATGAACAGTGTGGTTAATGGTGAGTGCCTGGGAGCCTGGAATTTTTGTGTGTCAGACAGAAGGTGCCCACGTGACCAGCCCCCCCAGTAAAACCCCCCAGACACTGAGTCTCTAATGAGCTTCCTTGGTAGACAGCAAGCACTTCACACGTTGTCACAGCTCATTGCTGGGGGAATTAAGCTCAGCCTGTGTGACTCCACCGGGGCCCTCTCTTGGAAGCTTGCACCGGGATTCGCCTGTGCTCTTTTCCCCTTGGCCCCCTGTGCTGTCTGCTCTTGCTGTAATACATCTTAGCCGTGAGTACGCTGTCTGCTCAGTCCTGGCCAGTCTTCAGACACACATGCTTTCGGATTAATGGGTGGCATCTGTCCTCTCCTAGCGTGGAGATTGGTGAAAGTGTGAGAGGGGAAGATGTCTACATCATCCAGAGTGGCTGTGGAGAGATCAATGACAACTTGATGGAGCTTCTCATCATGATCAACGCCTGCAAGATTGCATCGTCTTCCAGGGTGACCGCGGTGATCCCGTGCTTTCCGTACGCCCGCCAGGATAAAAAGGACAGGGTACGAGCGCTGCGTCCTGCTGGGGGAACCTGCTCTGGGTGAACGTTGACTGTTTTCCTCATGTTACCTTAGAATATCTAGAAAATATTTGCCTTCTATTTTAATGATCGAGTAAACATGCTTTTTCACCTTGGCTTTTCCAAAGGTTTGTCTTTGAACCTGTCATCATGTTAATATTTATAGATATAGAAACAGATAAAGCATATTTTTGCAGGTATTAAAATAGCATTGTAGCCCTGCCTGGTGTGCTCAGTGGTTAGAGAGTCAGCCCACGCACTGAAGGGTTGCAGGTTTGATCCCCAGCCTTATTGGGACACATGTGGCAGGCAACCAATTGATGTGTCTCTCTTGTGTATGGCCATACCACCCTGAACACGCCTGATCTCGTCTGATGTTTCTCTCTCTCTCTTTCCCGCTTCCACTTTCTCTAAAAATCAATGGGAAAAATATCCTTGAGTGAGCATTAGCAAATTTTATATATATATAAAATTTGCTTATATATATATATACACACACACACACACACACATATACACCATTATAGTCCTATAGCAGTGATTTTCAACCTTTTTTCATCTCTTGGCACACATAAACTAATTACTAAAATTCTGCAGCACACCAAAAAATATATTTTTTCCTGATCTGACAAAAAAAAAAGGCATACTTTTGATTCATTCACACCAAATGGCTGTTGTTGTGTTGGCTGTTGTCATTTTTTTGTTTGACAATCTAAGGGAAAAGAGGTCAGTGCCCATGACTAAATAGTCAGGTATTGCAGGTTTTAAGTATTCTTGTGGCACACCACTTGAAGATCACTGTCCTATAGTGATGAAATGGTTGTGTATCTTTGTGGTGGTGGATAGAACTCAGTACCCACTCCCTTGCTCACCTAGTGAGCACAGAAAACTGGAGGAGTGGGAATCAGGGCACTGGACTGTATCAGGGCCAGTATCCTGGCTGGGATATCGTACCGTAGTTTTTCAAAACGTTACCATGAGAAACTGGGTGAAGGACACACCAGATCTCTACATGTTTTTGGTTTTTGATTTTGGTTATTTCTTCTCTTAATCCTCAGCCAAGGATATGTTTTTATTGATTTTTATAGAACATGGAAGGGGGAGAGAAAGAGAGAAACATCTATCAATTGCCTCCTGTATGTGCCCTGCCCAGGAGTTGAACCCACAACCTTTTGGTGCATGGGACAACACTCCAACCAGCTGAGCCACCCAGCCAGCGCTGCATTGTTTCTTCTTCTTATCTCTTTTTAACCTTTCAAGAGAATGAAGCTAATGTTGAATTATTCTTTTAGCAACACTAGCATGATAGGAATGAAGATGGAGTTGGAGGGGAACTTTAAAGGGGATTGTATTAGTTTCCTAGGGCTGCCGTTGTGAATTGCCATAAACTGGGTAGCTTACAAGAACAGAAACGTAGTCTCTCCCTGTTCTGGAGGCCAGACGTCAGGAATTAAGGTGTGGGCAGGGCTGCACTTCCTCTCAAGATGCTAGGGGTTAGCCGCCTTTGCCTCTTCTGGTTTCTGATGGCTCCTGGCATTCCTTGGCTTCTCATAGCATCACTCCCATCTCTGCCTCTGTCTTCACATGGCTTTCTTCCCTGTGTCTCTGTGTGTCCCTGCCTGTTTTATAAAAGGACAGTCATTGGATTTAGGGCCCACCCTAATCCAGAATGATCTCATCTTGCTCTTTACCTTCATTATATCTATAAAGATCCCATTTCCAAATGAGGTCAAATCCTGAGGTTCTGGGTAGACATGAGTTTAGGGGGATACCATTCAGCCCACTACAGGGATCAACTTTTAAGCTGTTATCCACTCTACGTCCTATGAATGGCTGTTCGGTCAGGTTCCACATGAATCCGTCCACTTTATAAGAAACAGTGCTATTCAGTGATATGGTAACTGATTGTGAGAAAATTTTTCCCCAGTACACCTCCATTTATCTTCGTAATTCATTTTCTGAAACAACACAAATTTCTAAACACACAAGATCCCCTCATGTATGAAAAAATTTCCTTTATAAATTTGAATTCATATACCAAGGTAGTGTGGTTTCCCCATCCTATGCTGAACACAGCCTAATTAATATTCACTGGAATCTTGATCTCTGAAACTCCATTCTGCACTTGACACCTGATTAGATTAGAGGGGGTCAGCCAACTTTTTCTGTACAAGGCTGTATGTGTCTGTGGTAACTACTGAACTCTGGTTGTATATCAGACAGAGACAGACAATATATGATTGGTGTGGCTGGATTCCAATAAAACTTGTATTTATGGACACTGAAATGTGAATTTCATATAATTGTCACATGCCATAAAATGTCCTTGTTTTGATTTTGCTTTCAGTTATTTAGTTATATAAAAGCCATTAACTCACAAGCAATACAAAAACAAGTTGCTGGATTTTGCCAACAGCCCATAGTTTGCAGACCCTGGATTAGAGCATCCATTGGTTGTGTGTTTGTCTGTCACATCGTGACTTAGCTTTAGCTCAGGGCATCCAAAACCTTAAGTCACATATACTACTGTGGAGCCTATGACCTCCCACTTGTTATTTATGGAGCTTCTAGACTTTATTTGCAAGTTTCGTGTGCATTTTTAGCTGCTACATTCTAATTTATTAATTTTGTCCCATCAATGTAGTCTGTTTACCTCTTCCTCCCATCTGTGCTTCCACGGGATGGTTTAGCACCACATCCTTGTCTGTGTCATAAAGGAACTAATATTCTGCCACTGGTATCTTCCATGTGGCAAGCGGTTTAGTAAATTACATATTATGTAATTTGTAGTCTGGTCTCCTTTCACTTCTAGTAGCTTTTGCATTTGGGGCTAAGATATTTGATAATTGTATCTTCTTGAATAAATGGTTCCTTTTATTATTACAGGACCCTTTCCCACTGATTTGTAGCCTAACTTCCTCTTTAACTGATAAAAATATTGAGACTCCCACATTCTTTGTTTGCAGTATTCCATTGGCCACTGTTTCCAAAGTTGCATTTTCAGGCTTTGTTTCTTATGTGCATTGATAATGCAGTCTTTGTTGTATAGAGAAGCGAGCACTGGCTGGTCTCCTGTCTCACAGGGGATGTGACGTGCTCCTGGCCTCTGGTCTCTGATGGCCAGCAGTGGCCCTTGCCATTGTGCAGACAAAAAGAGCACCACAGAATTCTGAAAACCCTGGTGGCTTTAGCTGTTCTATGGAACTTCGTCTTCTGTCAGTGCTTCCTCCCTCTTCCCATGGTGGGGCGTGTTCACAGTTTTGCTGTTTGGAGCCATTTCAAGCACCCATTTCTTTCCTCCCCTTCACCCTTTCTTCATCACTGTGCTATAATTGTGTTTCCTGTTAGAGAAACTGATAGAATAGAAGGACTCATGGAGGGCTGTATGAATTGCCTGTTGCTACCATAATCAATTGCCACAAACTGAGTAGATTAAAACAACAGAAGTATATTCTCTCACACTTCTTTTTTTTTTTTTAATGTGTTTTTATTGATTTCAGAGAGAAGGAAGAGAGATAGATATAGAAAACCATCAATGATGAGAGAGAGAGTCATTGATCGGCCGCCTCCTGCATGCCCCCTACTGGGGATGGAACCCACAACCTGGCATGTGTCCTGACCAGGAATCGAACCCTGACCACCTGGTTCATGGGTTGACGCTCAACCACTGAGCCACTCTGGTCAGGCTCTCTTAAACTTCTGAGGCTAGAAGTAAAAAATCAAGGTGGGACAGCGGTCTGTCCAGAAGCTCCAGGGGAGGGTCCTTCCAGCTCCTGGCTTGAGGCCACATCACTCACTCCTCTGCTTCCATGTTCACATGGCCTTCGTCTTATCTCCATCATATCTCCCTCTTTAAGGGTACATGTGATAGCATTCCGGCCCTCCAGGATAACTGCCATCTCAGAACCCTTCACTCAATCACATATGCAAAGACCCTCTTTCCAAACAATGTAGCAGTTACCCAGGTTCCAGGGATTAGGACCCGATGTCTTTGGGACATGTTGAAGGAAGTCATTGATGTGTTAATATGTGGACATTTTAAGGACAGTTCAAGCTTTGAGGTAGTGTTATATATTTTATCATCTAAGCCAAGACACTCGAGCTTGAAGGGAGCTCTGTGAATAATTATATCAGGAAACAAGTATCTACCCCGGCTGCCTGGGTGAATCAGACACACGGCCACCCTTTTGTAGGCCTCTAGCTTTGGGACTGACCTTGGAGCTGGCCAAGACATACAGATTGTTCTGGCACCATTAACTGTCATGTCTGTGTAGTCAGTGTGACTCATGTTATAATAAGTAGGAAAACAGTTTCATTCTTTCACCAAACTGGTCGAAAGGGCAATCCTTTTTTTTTCTTTTCAATTTATCTTTATTATTGAAAGTATTACAGATACCACTCCCTTTTTTCTCCATTGATCCCCTCTACCCTGCATCCGCCCCTCCCAGGCCTTCCCCACACTATTGTCTGTGTCCATGGGTTATGTATTTATGCATAGAAGTTCTTTGATTACTCTCTCCCACCCACTCCCCCACCC